CATTAGACAACATATGTAATAGCCTAGAGCAAATTACTGATTCAGCTACTGGCCTTACATATCTCAAACAGTTCCTTCTCATATTACTTTTCTATCACTGTTAGCATTGCACAAAACTCATGTTGCATTTCTGAGGATTGCATAGAGGGCTACAAAATATTAATAAGTTATCTAATAAGGTTTTCCTTTCTTGTAAACATTCTAGAGGTCAGCAGACATTTTACCAAGGCCTGTTGAACCTAATTTCAGTGGAAATGTTTGTATCCTTTTTTTTTTTTTTTTTTTTTTTTGTGCTAGAAGGCTGGTATCTCTGCATTTTTACTGCACATTCGTTAGTCTGAAGGACTATAAAACTTGTCATTTTAAAAGGCTAGAAGTTTATGACCAAAAGCCAGTTAGAACAGTACACCATACCAAATCAAGACAGGGTTATAATAATCATCACATTTAACATTTGACATTTAAGGCACAACTGAATATCTCATATTGTACTACATGACATAACTAGAAGAAAAAAAAGAAAGGACAAAGACTGCTGAAGGAACATTTCAAAGTACCTGAATTTTAAGGGAGACAACTTCAATTGTGTTCTAGATAAAGACATTCATTCTACTTAGGAACTCTGCCCAAATGTTTTGAAGCCTTTCTTTTTGCTATACAATCATAGCCTCTCATTATTCAATATCTACGACATCATTGTGAGAAAAACTAAAACAAAAAGCAAGCAATCAAAATACTTAAACAACTGTATCCAAATATTTGGATTTCTGCCATATTCTATCCTGTCACTTAAGCATTTCTTAACAAGTTCTCAGCTTTCAGGCATTTTGCAAAAAGAAAACAGGCTGCAAAAAAGTTTCGCCTCAGTCACTGTAAAGAAACAGGGGATTCAAACCAGTCCAAGCTGAAACTGTGACCTTGAGTTTTTAAAGGCACATTTGACTGGATCTTTTATCAGAGTCTAGCCAGGACACGCTGGCACGATGACACCTAAGGGTACTGTTTTTCAGAAATCAAACATCTGTAACAAGAACAAGAAGCACAAACAGCATGCAGAGTCCTAACAACAGCCTTGCATGACCTGTGTGTCCAGCGTAATTACAATTCATTCTTTTCACACCTCTTTCTTACACAGCTACAGCACTGAATAGGAAATCTCATGGCAGCCCAGAATTCGACAGGGAAAAGTAACTGAGGGTTTAATCACCAACCTCAAGGCAATAGCAGTACATTGTGCAGTATGGTTTTGGAAGCAGTTCCACTGATTACACATCAGCGGTGAGACACCTTGGGTCATATTTATTTCTAGCATAAATCAATACACTTCAAAGGAGAAACACTTGGGAAGAATTTGACCTGTTTCATACTTCAGTTAAAAACTGCAAAATCATCCTGGAGAGATCCAGAGAGTTTCAATTTCCACCATACTTACATTGCATACTTTTTTTTTTTTTTTTAATTATTATTTTAAATGTCTCAAACTTTTGGAAAACACTTGATTTTACACAAGTTAAATCACAATACTGATTGTAATTCTCATACATTTCTACCTGTACTTTTGAAGTAATTGCATTATTATTCAACACGTAAAAGGATCTGACACCTTGCATGCGTGATATGAATGCACTTTTACTAAAAATGTAAGAGAAAAAATTGACTGAAGAAGGGAGAGAGGAAGAGGAGTAGAATATATATTTTTAAGCCAGTACTTAAGCATCATCCTTCATCTTAAAAATTGAACTTGTTGAACAGGAAACACTCTCATGGGTCTTTTAAGAAAACTATAATAAAAGCACAAGATATTAGCAATACCAACTGGAGATTTTTTTTTTTTTTTGCTTGTTTCCTGCTTATTACAAATTCATAGTAAATCTCCAATGCTAACATGTATAATCAAGGAATATTAAGATATTATAATCACAAAATAAACAAGAGAGTTTGGCAAAGTAGATAATGGTAACAACAAAAAAAAAGATAAAAAGATTACCCCTATCCTAGGCTCACTCACAAAACTCCAGCAGAGCAGATCTCCAGAAGAAATCCTTCCCCACTGGTAGCCAGCTCTTAAGTAAGTGTAGGAGGGGTGGAGCCTGGCTCCACCTGAATTGCCTTCACCTGTGCTCCTCTGGCTGACTCATGGCTCACCTTAGGTGATCAATCAGAGTTTCAGGCCGTGACTCAGCTGTTCCCACACATAATACTACTGCCACATGCATATTTCCAAGACAAAGGACTTAAGCTCCAGTAAAAAGTTATGACGTGTTCTTAATTACAGTTGCATCCAAGTGAGTAGATGCTGTAGCCAGCTTTGTGATACATAATGGTGCAGAGGAAAAAAATGAAAACCTATAGTGTGATTATGCCGCAGATAGTAAGAAAACTAATTGCCTTATTTTGCATGAAAGAAGATGACATTGAGGAGAAGACCTGTTCAAGTTATCACTGGGTCTTTAGCTTCACTGACAAGCCCACGTGTTTTCATTTTCCTCTTTATGGCACAACAATAACTACTTAATCAACATCTGCAGCTGCTGGACTTCTTCAATGTCCAGACATCCGTCTGCACCTGAAGAAAAGACGGTTTTGTTGACAGCCTGATGTTAACCCTCTTCATCCTAATTTCCATAAAAAATAAGGAAATGCTGCAGCTGCAGTTAAGCAAAACTTTTTCATAAAAAGTGAGGAGAAAAAAAAATATGCAAACAAATGTATAGGATATGGAACACATCCTCTAATGCACACTATTAAAATCAGTTACGGCATATCAAAAGGAAAGAGAGAAAAAAGCAGATACAGATCACAGATTTCTTTTTCACAGTGCTCTAAGGGAGAGAGTTCCCTGGTCACAGGAGACCTGTGACCTCCTGGAAACATTAATGATAAAGGTGCTAGCACTGAGTGAATGCTTCATAACCCTGAACATAATCTCTAGATTTAATTCAGCTGCTCTTGTCTTTTCCACTTTCTGCCACAGTCTTGAACAAGAGTTATGCTATCTTGGCTTATAACTTTGACCTCTGAAGGCTATGGCCACAGAGTCAATCAATTCTTCATACCTCAGACCTACCTGAAGGACTCTATTTCATCATGCCATTGCATTCACTTTCTGAAATATTCTCTTTGAATATCATGAACATGTTTTAGCCTCAAAACTATTATGAAAAAAATAGCATAAATTGTTAAAGCCCCTTCTCCTTAGCAGTAGTTACCTTCTTCCTCTTCCATATTTAGAGCGAATGTGGGGAAAAGGAAAACAAAAACCTGAAGATACATTCAGGAGAATACTAGTGCGCTGGTATATACCAACGAAGCAATTCTTACTGTATTTTACTTCCAAATTGACAGGCTAATATTGTCTTTTATATTTGCTCTCACAGTACAGTTTACCTGCAGCTACATATAACAGAGGGAAGGGGGAGAGCAGAGGGACGGAGGCTCATTATGGGCAGTGCTTATTTCCACTCTAGTACAGTTACAGGTATGAGTTACTTTAAATTTCAAAGCAGGCCATTAAATGGCTATCCAATTAGATAATCTCCATTACAGGAAACTACTGCTATTTAATTAGCTTGTTAAAAAACAACCCCACTTCACATACCCTGAGGAGAAGACCTCCCATAAAAGAAGAGGGAAGAAAAAAAAAAAAAACTGAGCCACCATGACTACCAACATTCACAGATATACAAGTGCGTTTGTCAGATAAAGTACGTAGAAACCATTATGAGATGAGATGACTTCTGAAAGTCATAGGATTCAAAACTGCCTGAAACCTGCTTTTCTGGCTACTTGTTTGAGTAGAAGAGGGGAAATTTTGACCAGATGTGTAGCAGAAGAGACAAAATCCCACTCCTCCCTCTCCGAAACAAAATCATTAAAATACTAGCCAGCACTGAACGATCTATGGGGAATACAACTTACTTGGACAGACACAGCTTTCTCAGTTTATTTCCTTATCCCCCTTCCTCCCTGTTCACACATCTGCCCTTCTGTTTCCTACCCTCATTCTTTTTAAAGATAGGTTTTAGTTTTCTTCCTAATTAGGAAAGCTATGCAAAAGGATTCACTGACCCTTAAGAGAACCTGTTATCTGTCAAGCTGTCTGCTGCCTGGAAACATAATTTATTTCTCATTATATTTGTACAAAACATTCCAAAAATGAGAACATCTCCAAAACCTGAACTCTTCAAAGCTAAAAAACATTCACCTGAAAACACCTTGAAAGCTTGATTCTCAGTTTTACTTTTCAGGAAATAAAATTTTGCCTCATAGCTTGCTTTAAAACCCACAGTAAATCAGCTAGGTAAATCTGTTAAGTTACTCAAAAGAACTGTTGTCTTTGAAACTGTGGTATAGCTTATAACCTACTTTGCAAATCTATCCTATAAACCAGCATAAGGACCCCTCATTACAGATAATCTTGCAGTTGCAAGCAAAGATGATACTGGCTTCCACAGTGTTTTACAAGCTTCACAGTACTATATACCATCTCACAAAGAAGAGTACATTGATAACACTTCATGAGAGAAAAGCCCTCCCCTTGCAGAAAACTGCTCAACACAAGCATTCTCTTTTTAACTGTTGATATTTTTAGAACAAATGTGGCATACATAATTATTTGAAAGTGTAAATATGCTCACAGTTGTTCCCCCATAAATGTTTATATACACTTCAATTAAGCTTGACAGAAGTCTAAGGGGATCAAGAAGATATTTCATGGCTACAGGCCCTTCAACAGAGAAATAATATCCCTTGTTTGGGGTTCTCCTTTGGAAAAAAACATGCACTCCAAAGTAGAAAATACATTTTTGGCTGGGTAATTGCCATAGGCACATGCCTCACTCAGGTGTGGAACACTGCTGGCTGTGCTGCACATGCAGCTGTGAGGGGCGTAAAGGGGAACATTAGAGAGACATTTGTCTGATGATCACGGGAAAACTGATCAGCATTTTGGCTGAGAAATTAGGTTTCCTGCAGGGAAAGTAGATCAAGAATGTTCATACCCGAAGTGAATTATGACTTCTCTGGTTTCTTTCTTTTATCCAACATGATGTGACTATCATTTTGAGACATTACTGCTCCACATCCAACAGATCAGGGGATAAATGGTGAGCTGGGACCTGCAGAGTACAAATGCAATAGTCAGGGAAAGACACAATCTGTGTGGCAAAGTTAACAAGACCTCACTAAAGCATTTCTCAGAGAGATCAGGAGTTTGGAAGAGCAATTTATCTCCCCTGAGCTGTTTGTGAGTGATTTCTCCACCTTGCTCCAAACAGCAGGGCTCACCTGCCTGCTGAGAATAGGACTCCTACCACTTCCAGGAGCAGCTAGTCACAGACAGGAATATCTAATCAAGTTAGGCCCCTGGCATCTTTTCTGCCATTTTTTTTGGACCCACGTATCTCTGCAACAAAAATTCTTACTCTAGAAAAATGCAATCTGCATTCTAGTTAAAAAGATGTCTGCTTATTACCACTCCTCGACTATACAACACAGAGAGGAAAGGGGTAGGGAGGGAAAAGGGATATTTTTCCCTCTCTCCTCCACAAATCTAGAAACAGAAATAAACTGTATTACTACACAAAGGCAAGAGCTCTACTTTGTCTGCCTACTGACTGCTGTTTTCCTGTTACAGCATATGGTTTTGTTTAGATTCTCTCTCTCCTAGCAGTGAACTAATAAACAAGAGGTAAGCCTCTGTGTTGTCACCTAGGGAAAAAGAGGAAGGTACTTCTAACAAAAGGTAGACTCTTGTCTTGGTGCCAAGAAAAAGTGTTCATGCCCCATTAAACAGAAGGTGGATTCCTGTCTCTCTGGTTCTTTTGTTTGTTGCTTCAGATTGTTAAACAGAGCAAGGGCACTCCTGCTTCCAAGCACCTGCATTTAATTGCAGCTTATTGTGTTCCCCACGGGGAGGCAGGAACAGCTGTGAGGGAACACGGTACTGATGCAAGAGCAGAAAATACTCTTCCTGAGCAGGAAATGTGCTCTTTCTTCTACAAAAAGCACATTACTCTGAAGAGGAATCATTAGGAAAACAAGTGCTGCTTGGTTCTCCTCTGATATCTTTTGTGTAATGTTGTTCAAACAAGTTAATAAACCACACCTACAAAGATATTATGATTAGTGGTTTAGAAAGAGTCTATTTCAAATAACTTTTAAGGAAAATATTATTTTTGTGTGAGCAACCTACTTGTTTATTAATTGAAAGACTTTTCACAAAGCCTTGGTATGTCATTAAGATTGAAATTCAAGTGAATATAATTCAATAAAATCAATGTATAAACTAAGGTTGTGAATGACTTCTAAAGAATAAAAAATAAGAAGTTGTCCACATCCTGCACAGTGTTTAATCATTTAATTAGGGAAGTCTGTGTAATGAAGCTTGCTGAGAAAGCATTTTTCCCTTTGTGACAGCTGTATTCAGTACTTACTTCATTCCTGTGCTCATTCTTGGCCTTCAAGAATCAAATGGTTTAATAACTTCCTGCATATGCTGGTTAATTTTTTCTTGTATTTATGCTGGTTTTTTTCCTAGTCCATTTTGGAAACTGTCTAGTACAATGAAGAATGCTCAAACACTTGAACAATTTTGCCAAGCTCAAACCTACAGGATGGCCAACAGTTCTCACTTCACACACGTGAGACCTTTTATCAGTTGATAGAATAACAAGAAACCATTCTACTATGACAAGGATGGCTGGTTTGAAAGTTCCTTCAACTCAAGAGCAGAGGAAAAAAGGAAGTGTGGTGCTCTGCTTTAATGAAAAGCACAGTGATACAAGGAACTACACATACTTATCTCAAACTGAAAAGTCACCAGGAGAGCTCTTCCTCATTTGTTACATTTCTAGGGCACCCTTGCCTATGTAGGTAATGTCCACCAAAATCAAATGGAAACAATAATCCTAACTTGAGGGAGCTACAGAGCCTCCCAGAATGGTCATAGCAGCTTTTTTTAGATTTCAGATGTTTTCCAGGTCCCAACACTTAAAAGAAAATTCTGCTTTTTGTTTATCTTCTTCTGCAACCAGAGGCAGCGAACAAAAAAAAAAAGAAAAAAAAAAAAGTAATAGGTCATAGCATCACTTTCTATCCTAACACAATAAAAGGGAAAGAATAACTTTTTTTGTTTATCTATCATTCTATATCATTCTAGTGCTTTCTCGTATTAAAAAAGTGGCTATCCTTTTTTTTCTTTCCCCTAAGTAATGAAGAAATAGAATATTTAACCTCCCACCTGTTTCCCCAAAATAAAAACAATAAAAGTGGAAATGTTTTCTTATGCTCTTTGAAGTACACTGGATTTAAACAAACTGTAATACTGAAGTTTGGTTAGTTGCAGGCACAGTATGCCTCCTGTTACCTGTCAACTTATTTATTTATTATAGACAACACTAAAAAAGTCAATAAGAACGATCCAATTTGACAGTCTTAGGGGTTGAAGCCTTTGACAGAATAGGTGCACATAGAAACAGCATTCTTATCCTATCTTGTTTATTTGCATCAGCCTTAACACAGAGATACCTTTTCCTATATTGAGGGCAGCCTAGCTTTTGCAATCCTTCTAATGTTTTATGTCGTATCTCAAAGGAAGGGGGAATTTTCAGATGGGAGAATTGGAATTTCCATCTAATTAGAATACACTACTGTCTGTGCAGTTTAAGTAGATGTGAATACAAACACTCTACACATTGTTCTCCAGTGGTAAATGGTGGGAATTGAGCTATCTCAGGAAATCCATCTCCTCCTTCCTCACTTCCTCGTCTCGGCTGTCTTAAGGAAGAGCTGAGACACGGGTGACGACTGCTGGCTTGTGTTCCCCTCCTTATATCCATCCAAGATCAGAAACAATAGGATGGTCCCAAAGAATAACAGTACATCTTTCATTTGCCCATGAATGCGAAACAACTACAACTCAGGAAGGACTACTTCTTTGTCTCTCAAAGAGGCACTGTGCTAAGCCTGCTCAGCTCCCTGGGCTAACCATGTTGTGGTCCTGACTACACCAGGTCAGTCTGCTATCTGCCTTTTCATTCTCCTTTGCTCCTTGGCTGAAAGGGGATGCTTCAGAGGTAAGAAATGCTAGCATGATCATCTGGTCCACCTTGTGAGATAGAATATATCTTCTTCAGTACTTAAACTACTAGAGCTTTATAAGTTTGTTCCTCTCCTAACAAGAACTTCCTAAGGATTTACTTGAGAGCAACTCATCAGTATTTCAGATTCTCCGGTAAGCGTACAGAAATGCTAGGTAATAGTGACCAGCACTTAAGGATAATTATAAAAGCTTGGAAAGTGGCAAGGTAACAAAAGTTAAAGGGCATTAGTTGGTACTAGCAGGATATCGGTTAATATGAAGAAGTCTGAATACAGAATTACTATTTCCTTCATTTGCTTCACCTGATTTCACACTTAATTTCATACTTGACAGAGTTTTGGTGTTTCAGTTACCTACACTGACGGCAGGCCTCGCAGTATAACAGACAGGGTTGTTCTCAGTTGCTAAAAGAAGTTTATTTCATGTTTACTTCCTGCATGTGTCCAAAAGTACTTTCTTAGATATCCTCAAAAGCTGTATGTTGTGTATAAGAGGACAAGACAACGGTGCCTTCTGCTAGCCTCAGAAGCAACTAACACAATATACTCACACCTGTACTACTTTCTTAAAGTTTCTGAAGCCTAATTCATTAACTTGCTTACAACAGCCTTGGCCTAGGTAATAACTTTTTAAATTAATAGTAATAAATTAGAAATTGGAGGTATTCTTAAACCTAGACTGAAAGTAACTTGCCCTGAAACTTGACCAAGTGTCAATACAGCTGGAATTTTGAAATAAGTCATGCACGTGCAAATAGTTTAGAGATTTCCCAGTAAAGAAATACAGCATCCTAATGAGAATCTATTTGCTACTAGATCAACTTCTACCTTTTGCTCTGTTATATGGTAAATCTAATATACATGTTTGTCTGGCAACAAATACTGTTTGATACACCATAAGCTAAAAATTCATGCAAGTCATTTAAAAGTAACTCCTCTAGTACAGACTAGATTAAGTCCCCTTTGAAAAAAAAAAAAGTAATACCTAGTGGGGGAAAAAAATTAAATCTATAATTCTTCTAAATAGATATATAATAAACCCTTTGTTTGATTAGGTTTATATAAATATATAATGTGGTTATCTGAACTTTTAATTAGCAATATGATATCATCATTTACTCTGTTACTATATCACATCATCATCCTAAAAAGAAAGCTCTAGTAGAAAATACACAATAGGAGGAAATACACAATAGAGTTAACGGGATTTCAGGCAAGGATTTTTTATCTTAATTATCATAAGCAAGAGCAAGAATCCTTTCTATCTCTGAAGTAAACTGTTCTCAGAGTGCTGATGGGCATATGAGTTTTACTTAAACTACCATATAAATACCTTATTTTGTAATTACCTACATAATGAGAACTGGATGAGAGTTCTACCATCACATTTGTACTCATAACTGTAAAGTGACACTTTGCATCTCTTGTGCTTACTTTCTGTCACATTATTTTTCATATTGACAAGTCATGTCTTGTCAGATTCTATGAATATCATCTACACACTGGTTACACACATTGACAATTTTAAATAATTATTCACAAGCCATGCATTCTGTTGTTAATCAGATCATCTCTTTTTTTCCACAACTTCCTCCCAGTATCCACAGCTCAGAGTCTAAACACTTGAGACAACATGAGGCTAAGAAAATAGGCATTTGTTTGACTATCAAGCAAGAAAAGGATTTCTGCTAATATTTGTTGGGGACAGCAGATCTATACCCTGAATTTTTTTTTAGTCACAATTCAATGAATTTGTTTATATGTCAGTAATATTAAAACACAACATTTAGAATTTATTCAAGATCGAACTGCTTGTACACCAAATAGAGATTTTACTGCTTTCTGTAATAGCATAGCTAGATAACTGCTTTTGTTCTTTGTATGTCCACCAGTAGTGGAAGTTGCTGTAATGCAAACTTTTGGGTTCAAAGCAACCAAGATGGTTAATTTACCTTGCCTATCATTTTTATATAGTCATTCATCGTACACTAATTCTAGAAAAGTGGAATTACTGAACCATCAATAACAGGAACAGGCTAGAAGCAGTACTTTTAATCATAGGTTTATTTCTAAATCATAGAAATGATCTTTTAAGCTACATGATACCATACCAAATGGTTTCCGTAAGTGTTCCCAGTACATATTGAAATACCAAAGGTTGTATACATTGACAGAATAACATTCCAGGGGTGGTTTTTGACAGATACATTAGTACTCTTACTAAAAACATCATTCTAATAAAAAGTGTTTCATGCTATTAGTCCATATCTGCACGACACTGTCAGGCTTTAAAAAAATGTTTTTCTCATTTTCCTGTATATTACAGGTTTTCCAGTTAGTTACGTTTGGCTGCAAGTACCAATTCATATATTTCTATTTTATACCTAAGTGAAACCTGAAACCCTGGGTAAAATGAGCAAGTGTATGTATAACTACCAGGATCGTATCAGAATATCTCACAAGAAACACAAGAATTTTGGTTTACACAGAGAAATAGAAGCACCTGTGCTGTAGTGATAAAGAGGTTGAGTAACTTTAGAGATAGGACTCAGCAGTGCTTCTGAATCCTAAGCATTTCTAATTCATTATTCTGGCTCCTCTCTACAAAACTCCTGACAACCACAGTAAGTCTTGACAAAGCATGAGTGATAATCCTATGCTCTTGGATCATTCTAGAGTCTAACACATGCAAAATATGTGAAATCTAATTAACAACTAAGATTAAAGAGATTTGTAGTGTCTTGTTTGCCAGCTAAGTACTATAAACTACTTTGCTTCTCATCCTCCCATCATCCTTCATCTTGTGTACTTCTTTTCTTGGCTATCATTATTCGAGCCCTGGATTCTGACACTGCCACATATCAAAGAGTGATTTAACTTCTCTTTTTAGGACTATCTGTGACTTAAGGTATTCAGCTGAGCTTCCGCATGCGGCATGTTTCACCTACTGACACTTCTTTGCCTTCAGATGTCTGCAGCAGCAGCACTCCATCTGACATGTGGAAACACTATATAGAAGCATGGATACCTTCACAACTTCAAAATTCAAAGCACCAAAAGGATGAGGAACTTACATTATCCACCATTCGGTGGATAAGTTAAAATACAGCACCTGGTCTGTTTGCATCGGCAGCTGTTTGGATGTTCTCTTACTTCAGCTAGTAAAAGAAACCAGACTTTCTGATTATGAAATAAAATAAATTTGTTTCAGTGAGAAGCATCGAATTTACTTGACACTCCTGGAAAACTTCAGCAGAAAATCCAGCCATTAAAAAATAGCTTACCTCACAGAGAAACTTGACAGTGGTGCATTCTCCACAGCCAGATACTGAGGAACACAAAGGAGTTTGAAGAATCTACAGTTTTTAATTCAAATGCAGACCAGTAATACTGAAATAAATAAATAAATAAATAAATAAAAAATTAAAAATAAAATAAAATGAAAACGTTTTTATTCATTCTTATTTGGTGAATCAGGGTACTCAGTCCAAAAGCTGGCTGACCCCTGCTTACCTTTCAATATATGATCTGGAAGTTTTCTATAACTTTAAAGAAGCTTCATTTTTAATTTCTCGCCCCTTCTCTACCTCATCATTATTTTGTAAGAAGGGAAATCTTATTACGCAGACAGTGATCAGTAAAATTTGTAAATACAGTACCTCTACATTATATCATACCAAGTCAAACAGTGGTGACTTAACAGACTAAAGCAAACCTATATTCATTTCTCTTAATCTTAGCACAACTCATTCAACTTAACCTTTTCTTATACATTTATACTTAATGATTGCATGTTCAAGAATTTATTACAGAAGCTCCTATTCATCTTACAGAAGATAGTAAAATATTTTTAAAGCTTAAGTTCAAGGCAGATTTTTTAGTGTACAAATAGCTGTACTTGCAAACTCACACTCATCAAATGTATCTGAAAGTCCTCAGAGGATGCCAAACCTGGGGCTAAATAAAAGGACAAAATGACAGAAAAACCTTAGCAGCTGGTCACAGATCCGGTGACCAGCAAATTAACAGAAAGGTCCTTCCCTGCAGATTAGTCTATCTAACAATATTTCACAGATATTTAACAATAATCCCTTTTTACAGGCATGCAGATTCATTCTTTATTGACTAAGAGGCTCAACTTCAAGTTATCTTTTCAGAAGCAAAAGATTAATACTTCAGATTTCATCCATAAAAACAAACTACAGAGCTGACAATGATTACCCACTATTTCCATTTATCCAGCTACTACGACAGGCATAATTAAGCTGAAATAATAGTTACCACATCAAATGCTTAAACGTATCAACTGGCATTTTCTCTTTTCTTCATTTTGGTTGCAGTCTTTCTGATTTCACTTTGTTTTCATTGCCTACCTCTTCCATTGATTGACTCTCCTATCTCCACCCAACTAATTCAGATTCTTCCACATTTCATAAGATTCAGCTACGACAGTTTAAGATGCTTATTTTATTCATCTTTTGTTTGTGCCTGCAAGGGCTTCTCTAAAAGCAGTGCCTCCTATTTTATTATGTTGGTTCATGACATCAGAGGTGGTTTTTGGTGGTATGGCAGTAGAGATTGAACCTTCCTATTAATGTTCCGTTACATTTTGTTGTTGTGTGACATATGGCAGCAAAGGAGCAGTCTGACATGGAAATATACATGCAAGAAATTTGTAATCTTCCCTATGGAAAAAATTGCACCCACTGACGTTCATTGACACTCTTGATTTATGGAGACCAGTGAGCACAGTGAGGCAACAAGCAGTGTGTTTCAGTAGTAGCAACAGCAGGCCGGTGCAAATTTTTGAGTGCAGCACGCAGGCTCTTGTGCATTGCTGGTGAAGATGCACAGCTAAATATGGTGACTACGTTGAAAACTCATGTTTTGCAGCTGAGAATCTGTTGTATTAAACAGTGCTATTGTGCTCTTTGTATCTGTTGTTGTTTCCATGGAAATAACAAGCAGACATTAAATCCTGAGTTACCTACCTATGATGGTTTAACTTCATTGTGCAAAGACATGGGACTAAACTAGTCAGGAATTTATTGGACACGACAGACTTCCTTCTTTAAAAATACTTTCATCAGCTTAGAAGAATTAATGGATTAATATTAGACCCAGATAAAATTAACTTTAAAATAGGACAGATATTGTTAAACTGTATTTTTGCTACATTAGTTTCCTAACAAAGTCAGTTTATAATAAATCCAAAAGTCCCAGATATCAGAACTACACTTAAAGCAACATTAAAGTTGAGCATGTTTATTGCATACCACTTTCCCTCCACGTCAGCCTATACACTGGCTCTTCACATATCAGTTTAAATAAAGACACTGGGGGTTTTCCTAAGTCTGTGCAAAAAAAAAAAAAAAACACACAAACTCTTTCTAAAATATGCAAATACGAGCAAATTTAAGGAACATTTAAGAAGTTGTGCTATATCTGGTACGGAGAAACTACATCACTTGTAATGTATGGGAAAAAGGGATGCTGAAAAAACCTCACATTATGGAAGATAAGCAAATTTTTTTTGATATTACAGCAAAATAAAAACACCGATTTTTACTTAGAAACAGAACTAATCCATATGTATTTTCTACATAAGTGTAATTAAGACACTAAATTTACACCATCTACTCACAAGGGTATTTAGTTCACATGAGTACTTGGTTGGTTACTCAGCAGACTTCTTTTCTTTCCAAAAGTGTATTTATTATGTGAAAAAAATAAGACTGAAAATCTACTTTATCACATAACTTATTCTCACATTCCACATGTTTTGAGCACAACATCAGAACACCTATTTGTTTCACAAAGTTCCTTTGTGCTTTATGGCTTCCATCTCTTTTTATATTTCAGTATATCAAATCTTAGTGATTGGTTACTTTGTTTTTAGTCCCACTGAGCCTGTTATCTGTAATTAAATATAAGCCTCTGCGATATTAGTAGTGTGCTGATGGATTGTTGCTTACGTACTGGGCAGCACTTAGAGAAATGGAGGTCCTTGAAAGCAAACAGCATCAGAGCATAAATCAGCTTGAATGAAGACAGGAGCAAATATAGATTTTGTGGTAAGAACGCTCAGGAGATTGTTCTTCGAAGTGCACAGATTGGAGATTACATCTGTATTGATCTATCGTCAGACATTTATTGATCATTGGCTAAATGACTGTGCAGATAAACATATGTATCTTTCCACTTCTGCCACTACATCTAGCTTTACTGACTATGCAAAACTAAGTACACAATCCTCTCAAACCTTGATTAAATGCTGCATGAAGGTTTATGTAACAAAATTGATCCAAAATAGAACATGAAAATTAACTTCCGATTGCTGTAAGAATAAAAAAAATGTCCAACTAAAAATATTCCAATTCATTTTCAACCTTGTAAGATTTTCTACAATTACCCCTGCAATTCTGAAATCCCTTCACCCTATTTCTTGAAATGTCAGACATACAGAAAAAAGAAAAAGGAAAAAGAAAGCAAAACCCACAAATCAAGGTACTTAAGATTTTCAAATTATAGAATATTGTTAGCAATTGTGGATATCATATAGACAGATATAGATTGCTTTTCTGACAAGCATGAGCTGGCAGCAAATTCCTCAAATGATTTTCAGTTAATCTTACCTATTCAAACTCATATCTCAAGTATGATAAAAAAGATCCTCTATTCTAAGCAGATGGGATACATAAATCCAACATTTCTAAGTTGCAGGTATCCATTGTAGTAATGCTTACTTTCTGAATAGTGTGCCATTTACAACATATGGTTTTGATGACATCCTTAAGTAGCTATGCTCAGTTCTTGCACTCAAGAATAACCACTATTTCAGCAAAATAATCCACAATAGCCAGAACACAAGCTTATGTAAGCCACAACTAAATGGAAAAGGAATATGTCAATATGTCAAAAAATCACCAGTTAAATACAAAGATGAAACAAGCAATCACTGAACTGACAGCCTAATTTTAACGAGCTTACTGTGGACATCAATAAAGGGTTTCACACACTAATAACCAGAGAGGTTCATTTCAACCCAATCTTCACTAATCAACACTCTCCCATATCCAGAATACAAAATGGTACACAAATACTCAGCAGACCAACAATTGCCCGTGCCCCAGACGGAGATCTTCAGTTAATCTCCTCCCCAGCAGCAAAACCTGGCAAGCAGAGATCAGAACCCTCTGCAACTTTCAGATGCTGTCCCACCCCATCTTTTCAAAGCTAGCCAGGAGTAACACCCAAATTTAATCATTTTCTACTTCAGAAAAAAAAAAAAAAAAAAAAAAAAAAGAAATGCTTTCTACCTTGTTCACACTCTCTCTCTCACTCCCGAGGAGTTTTTCGTTCTGTCATCCTCTGATATTTTTTCCCAGATAACTAAGTAAGTACTTCAAACCTGTAACAAATAGAAAATCCCCTATACTTCTCCAAGCCATCTGGCCTCCTGATCTTTCTCTCTCCAGCTGCTGCAGCTTGTAATTAGTCCCAGCTGAACGACTAGTTAATCTTCTCAGCAGAATCACACAAGGAATACACATTTCATTGCAAAGCATAGACTAGTTATTTACTAACAAAAAACAGTTTATGATCTCCCTTACTTTTTCTACATAACCAATATGAAGGCAACTGTCATGGAAACTTAAAGACAGAAAGAAAATATATAAGACTTTGTGATAGAGTAGAAGCAAAGAAGATATCTATGTTCAATATTAAGTTAAAATTCAAATGAACAGCCACTAAGGCTTTTCCACTGGAAAAGTAAATTATTAGCTGTGAAAATAAAATAAAGACTTCTTTGCAAATAGCAAATGCTACTTTTATAGAAGATGATGTCAGAAGCCAAAGGTCAGAATTTAACACTGGAAAGAAGATTTTAAAGTAGGAAGTTCTAGGTCAAGAAAAATTGTACTTGGCTGGAATTCAGAAAATATACCTAATATTTGAAGTTACCTTAATGTATAATACGCCACCAGAATGAAATTACCTGCATTAACTATATTATCACAAGCACTTTGAGAGAACTGCAGAAAATGAAATACTGAAAAATAATGATTATTTTGAAACAGAAAAGCCTATTGCTTATATTTTATTTTGTAAAAAAAGCAAACTAATGTGACTGTAAAAAACTATATTTTCATTTCATAGTTATAGCTCCAGTGAAATGTCTGCAACAAAATAAATTTTGTTCATTATCGTTCATTATTTATGTTGTTATGCGAAACCAAAGTTGGTTTATAACTATTAATGCAAATTACTCTCACTGCATCCATATACCCATACTATTTGAAGCATGGACAATTCATAATGAATAATGTGATTTTTTTCCTTTTACTTTTTTTCCTTTAATTCACCATCACCTTGAGGCTATAGCATACAGAAATTTGAGTGATAAATGCAAAAGAAAAAGAAAAAAAGACAGTCGTGAAGGAGGGAACAGAAATTCAAGCGTCAGTCATTCCATAATGACTGCTAGGCTACACTTATCCAATTTCAACATAACAGAAGGTACCTTAATTACATGCATTTCTATTAGATGTGTTTTATTGGAAGAACAAGAATGATGTAGAGCTGTTGGATCGAGCCCAGAGGAGGACCACAAAGATGATCAGAGGACTGGAGCACCTCTATTACAAAGACAGGCTGAGGGAACTGTGCTTGTTCAGTCTAGAGAAGAAAAGGCTCTGGGGAGACATCGCAGTACCCTTTCACTATTTGAAGGGAGGTTACAAGAGAGAGAAGGAGTGACACTTTACAGGGGCAGATATGTACAGGACATGAGGGAACAGTTTTAAACTAAAAGAGGGGAGATTTACCTTAGATTTTAGGAGAAAATACTTTACTCAAAGGGAGGTGAGACAGGGAAACAGGCTGCCCAAAGAAGCTGTGGGTGCTCTATCCCTGGAAGTGTTCAAGGTCAGGCTGGATGGGGCCCTGGGCAGCCTAAGCTGGTGGGTTGCAGCTCTGCCCACAGCAGGGAGTTGGAACTAGATAATCTTCCAATTCAAGCCATTCTATGATATGATTCCATTCAGAGTGCTTCCAGGCACTTCCAAGGAAATCTCTGGGTTGCAGCAGTGTGGAAACTCCAGCGCTTAGCGGAGAGAAACAGTTGCCACCTTCTGCCCTGCCCTATGCCCATCCTCGGTGTGCTTCTTGGGTGGTGGGTCACTTTCAGCTACTAACATGGAAATCTGTCAGTTTCCTACATGCTAAGCACAAATTCTCAATTTTTTTTTTTTAATTATTCTTTCTTTTTTATTATTATCTTTCTTTAATGACACATATATATTGGGATACCTGAAATGGAATTTCATATTACTTACACCAGGATCACCATGAATACAGTTATTTATGGACTCTCGGGTGCCTCCATCAGGAAGCCATGATTCTCCAGGCAGGGACACCCATCTGCAGAAGCAGAAAGAGTGAAACACAAGTACCTTGCAAAGAAATGCTTTGCCTTCACCTAGGATAGATGAGATCTGTTTTTCTTGGTGGCTGGCAGAGAACCTTCCCTCATTGAAAGCTTCAAATGCCACCATCACTCAGAGATAGCTGAATTAATATCTCCAGACTAATGCTGTGTGGTCTCCGTATTCATTTAGATCGATACAGCCCAGCATTCTCAGGCATGTCTGTGTACTCCACAGAGCTAATGAGAATTATGTATCCATATCTATACTAAACAAACAAATGAACAAAAACACTGCAACAAACACAACAACAAAAAAGCCCACATCTATTTTAAATCCTGCAAGTGAGAATTGCAAATATCATAATGCTGCGTGTGGCACATGGGGATGTTAAGTAAAAAATAATGTGTTTCTAGGTATGCTCCTTATTTTGAAACTGACCTGCAGAGAGAGATGAAATGAATCATTTTTTATCATTTCTGCCTCTATTAGCCTATCTAATAGATAAAGTAACCAAAACTTGCTTTTTCATAAAAAGCACTTGGAGATAGATGGAAGAAAAGCAAAATACTTAAGAGCCAAGCTGGGCACAAAAGGTAGCAATCTGATGAATGTCTTCCTGAACAAGATCTTCACATCATTTTTTTCATCCCTTTAAATAACTATAATAAACATAATGTAATTCTTGTACAGAATATTACATTTGATGATACCATTTGGTACTGTAATTTCTGTGAAGATCTGAATAGAATCATGTCAATTTTAGCTTTGACAAAATGAGGCTAATAACTACCAATCAATCAGTTCTGTTCAGAATTCAAAAAAAAAATTATAGACATACATTACAAATAGGTACAAATACTATCGGTTGGAAGTGCTTCCTTTCAAAAGATTCTACTGTGAGGACCTTTTAAGTAAAATATAAAAAACAACTATACTTACAACTATATTTCATACTGGGGAAAATGTTTCTGTTCCATACACTGCTCTGCTCTTTTGCAGTCAAGTTTATACCCTCTGTGCTGTACCATGTGGCTAAGTAGTTTTCTCAGTGTTAATTTCTCAGTCTTCCTCCTTATTTGAATGATAACAGCTGGGAATGCTAGCATATTATAAACTGCCAATCTCTTAGCTGCAGTTACAACCATTAAGTAAACATCAGTTATTAAAATTAAGTTCTCAGCATGCTGAGAAGCCTCTGTTTTTCTTTCGATTACAAGTAAATGTGTTAAAAATGAGGACAGTATACTCCTTTGCTGCTTACTCCTGCTAATTGTAAAATGCACTGTTTATAGTAGTTCAAGATATCTAGCTACGATCAGCACAGAATGCTATTACAAAGAAAGACATTCTGATGAAAGATTTTGTTTGGCATTTTCCTCATATAGCTAACATTTTACATGCAATAATGTTTCATATAAATATATTAGTTTTAATGATTAAATAATTTGAAATTGTCACAAAGAGAGATCTAGACACCTTTGGGCAGAGAAAAACCATATTAATAGTTCAAACCACATCCAAGACCATTACAAAGTTCAGGATTATAGAAATGTGGAAGAATAGGAGCGGGACTGAAACGTAGCAAAGAAAATATAAAGAAAAATACAAAGAAAAATGCAGAGTTTAGACGGACAAGCTATAGTTGTACATAGCTAAATTATCTAAAGAAAAATGTGAGGGAGATATGACTTTCCCTCATATCCTGGGATTAGATGGGAGTCTGGCCAAAATTAGATGAAGAAATGTTAATAATCTAGCTATGATCAGTCAAGGAGTATTAACTGAAAGAACTGTCAGTCCTGCTTGTTCAACAAAGAGATTAATCTTTGAATAACTGAAATCTACAAGCAAGTTATTAGAAAGAAGAACAATCTTTTTTGCTCCCACCTTCTAAAATGACAGGAGACCAGTTCTTTATCTCTTTATTACTCCATCTCATCCGCATACCTGGATGAAGCCAGGCCAAGGTTCATATGAAAAGATTAGGAAATGATATTGAAGAAAGATTTCCTCCTCATTCTGTGTAGGATAATATATGCATCTGGAAAGGCAATATTTGGTGTTAAAATCAAGACACATTCATAGCCACAATCCTGTTTTCTTAAGGGATGTGCTGCAAAATTGGCAAGCCTTCTTTGCCTAGCATCTGTGCTTCAAAGCGCTGCACAAAGTAACAGAAAAATAGGCAGCTGCATTGCAGGTTTGAGTTAACACAGTTTGATTTAGCCATTTTTTTCCTTCTGTATTTCCTTCCCCCCCTCCACAATCCTTCTGTGTATGTCTGATTGCTTTGTTTTCTCACATGCTCATACATACCCAAAGTGCATCAGATACCTGGTATATGTGGTACTAGCTGAAAGTCCTGTTGTGCCTTGAGAAAACCTTGTTGATCAATACCAATTCCATGTAACTTACTGTGTGCTCTTTGATCCTTCTCAACTAGCTATTAAAAAAACATGTCCTTGTGTTAGTCATCAAGGCACAGAACTTAAGGATTGAATTCTGCAGTAGTGATATGGGCACAGATAGAGTAAAAAGGAAAACAATTCCATCTGGGCATGTAACACTGATCGAAGGAGTTATTTTTAAAAACACTTATCACTAAGGTTTGTAGGTGTAAAATGAGATAATAGATCTTTTCATATATTTTTTTTTTATAACTGAGGAACACTCTCCAAGTCCAAAGGAACTGTTTCAATAAGTAATTCTAAACGGATGTAGCTGCACTGTGATTATTCACAATAATTTATAGTTTTGTCAGCGATGTATTACAGGGTATATATAAACTAGGTGCAGATGATGGACTATAAGCAAAGGTAGAAACATTATACTTATCTTGACAGTTTTCACTAGGTCTGTTCACTAACATGTTCAGACTGGACACAGAAGACATTAAGAATGAACTAGAAGCTCTGTTCAGATTTTACAGAGTGAATGAGAATCTGGCCTTGCACTGGTCCACAGTGATTACGTGAAGCCACATCTCTGCCCAACACAACAAATG